CGATCAGCGCCTATCAGGCGAGACCAGTGAGACCCTGCAATTATTACTGCAGTTGTGTAAACACGCGAGTCAACTTCACTGTCTTTGTTATCTTTGATGTTGCTCAAGCCTACCCCGAGTACTAGCTATATTTAACAATTATTCAACAAGATTCACAGAGCCTGAGGCGAAAAATTGTTTTAGTATCATTGCCCGAGTTTTGGTACTTTTGGGGACAGCATTTTCTTTAAATTTGAAGCAGTAGAAGCTGGCAGTCAGGTAATAATGCCAGTCAGTCGGGTCAACGTTCTATTGATTGACAGAGTGTCTCGGCATAACGTCATAACGCGACAGTATTTCATTATAAAGAAAGCTCTTCTGTTAGACATTTATCACGTAAATATACTGGCAGATATCCCATCTGAAGTACTGAACTTTGATCTTACAATTGTGACAAACACAAAAAATGCTCACAATAAATCTTTGACTGGTATACACTATATATACACTCTAAGACTTCTTATCGTTTACAAAGTGAAATCTTGTAATTGACAGTTATCATGTAGGGAAAGCAGCTTATTAAAATTATAATTAATGGAGAAGAGGTGTCTGCAAATAAATATACACGATCGAAGTGTGATTTTGATAAGCTACCCATTTGACCAGATCTTGGGCATATGTGAACCAAGATCAACTGCGACCCCACACTACACACTAGGGCTTCCTTTTAAGTATAAAGTCCGATCTTATGATTGATAACTATTATATAGTGTATTTGGCTTGGGCTTATACACAACTTTTCCTGCGTGACACTACCGCTGACAATGGCAAAGAATGGTGTCAATATATTCAAACAGCCTTGCAGGGAATCGGGATGTTAAGAAGATTGAAATCCGTCTTATTATTTCAAGGAGGCAATCAGATTCCGATTTTTGATAGAAAACTACTCCTAAGCAGGTCCTCTTATTTTTAAACTACGTGGATAATATTTTAACTAAATGTAATTTCCTTCAGGAGAGAGTATATAAGCATGCGCACAGACATAAGATTGACGTATAATATATAATATAAACATATTATACTGTCTAAGATTATTTTAGTAACTTGGCGATTATAATTAATAAAATGTGGCACAGGAATAGACATTTCCTATTTAAAGGTACTCGAAGTGATGGAGTGTGTGCTCTCTACATATGTTTATTTTCAACAAAATGATATGACTGTGTATATTTCCGTTGGTTTCATGCACTTGTAACGAAGAAATATCATTAATAATAAATAGAAGTCAGAAATAGAAGCAGGGCAAGTGAAATACAGGNCCTTCTCCCCTTCCTCCTTCTCCACCAGCTTCTCCCCCTCCTCCTTCTCCCCTTCCTCCTTCTCCCCTTCCTCCTTCTCCACCAGCTTCTCCCCCTCCTCCTTCTCCCCTTCCTCCTTCTCCACCAGCTTCTCCCCCTCCTCCTTCTCCACCAGCTGGTGTCTTAGCTGAAGTGGAAATCGTCATATTTGAGCATATATGCGAAGTGCGCATGCGCATACGCATCCTATATCATATATTTCGCAGGTCGCTATATTATATATCATATATTTCGCAGGTCAGAAATTTCGCACACAAAGACGAGCTGTGATTAGTCGGGTCGGGACGCACGCGAAGTGCGCCTGCGCATAGGCGCGGGGGGGGGGCGGGGCTATCTCAGATATTTCGCAAGTCAGAAATTTCACGCTACACCGGTATAAACTTCAGGATCGAATGGTTCGATTCGCAGATCGAATGATTCGATTCACAGATCGAATGATTCGATTTACGGATCGAATGATTTGATCTTTTCAATTTTAAATTTCAATAACTTTGTATAAGGTTTGTTAAGAACCGACATGCAACGTTACTATCAACGTTTAGTGAACGATTTTGGCAAACGTTTTTCAACCTTAATTACCTAATAATTAATACCTTAATTACCTTAATAACCTTATTACAAACGCCCGTTTTACTAACCGTAATAAAACGTTTTTAGCCAACGCTATTAAATAACATGAATTTAAATATACTTTATCTACCCCTCTTACTTTTAGCCGTTAACGACCCGTAAGACCAACGATCGTAGGACCAACAACCCGTAGGACCAACGACCCGTAGGACCGGTACCCCCAGCATCAGCACTAACTGTACCAGCGTGAGTGATAGAAGATCTGTTGCCAACAACACAACAGGCAGCATCGCCGAGAGAGATAGCGGCAGCAGCGAGAACGGTAGAAGCAACAACAGCATCATTAGCAACAGCAGCAGCAGCAGGAAAAGCAACAGCCGTTGCAATAGCAGCGACCTCCGTAGAGAAAGCAGCAGCAGCATTGGCAGCAACTACAGCAGCAGTAAGATAACAGCAACTGCGATTACCATCACATGTAATGTCAGATTCAGAGTCAGATGAAGAGGCAGAGAGGCAGAGAGGTAGAGGCAGAGAGGCAGGGGCAGGGGCAGAGAGGCGGAAGCAGAGACGGAGCCAGAGGCAGAAAGGCAGAAAGGCAGAGGCAGAGGCAGAGCCAGGGGCAGCGGAAGAGGCAGAGGCAGAGCCAGGTGCAGCGGCAGAGGAAGAGCCAGGTGCAGCGGCAGAGGAAGAGCCAGGTGCAGCGGCAGAGGAAGAGCCAGGTGCAGCGGCAGAGGAAG